TATAACTGGAATATAATAAGCACAAAGTATTCTAAATGTACATATTTCACCAAAACTTATTTAGGACTCATTTGAGGAAAGAAACTATACTAACTTACAAACATGGCCCCTACCACATAGATACTGTGCTAACCCATGTCCTGTTTTTGTTTTCATTTTGTATAAAACCATTTTTTAAAAGACCTTCGTTTTCTTAAGAAGGATGGAATCCGGTTTACAGACTGAAATTAAATGAGATAAATGCTCCACTCATTCTTATGCCTTCTTTTGGATACCAAAATACCTGTATCCTTTTCTTCCCCAATTCCTCAGTAAGGTTTTCCTTTTAAAACTAGAGACTCAGTGCATGAAATTCATGCACTTGGGGGGAAGTACCTCAGCCTGGTCTGTGCCCTCTTGCAGTCCAGAGTCCCTCAGGGTATGTCCTACTGACAGCTTACATCCACTCTCCTAAGCCGGCAGTCGGACATCCTTAGCACTGCCATAGTGGCAGGAGAGGCTCCCACCACCTCCATGCTTGCCAGCCGTGAGCCCAGCTCTCTGTGAGAGTGCACTGACCATCAGGGGACAGCTCCTGTGTTAAGGATCTGCTCCCTGGTGGTCAGTGCGCGTCATAGCGACTGCTGTTTGGTTGATTTGCATATTAGCCTTTTATTATATAGGAAGTTTTTCAGATATCTTCCAAATGACTTTAAAAGTTTTTAAAACATATTTCTAAAAATAAAATTTCCTAATTTAAATATGGGAGGTTAAAATACAAAGCACTGCTACAAAGTATTTATAACAATTTTTAAAAGCTAGTTTAGTAAAGAGCACAGGTTTCCACAATGAATAGCTCTTAGGCCCTGGCCCACATTTTATAGGTTTCCTTTTGCATGATGTTCTGTAGCTATCCCTTTTTATTGCATAAATGAAACTCAGTGTGTTTGGAAGGTATGTAGTCATTCCAACTGTATCAGTGACGGCAACTCCTGCTGAAAGAGCCTTTCCATCTTCTTAAGTCACAATCCTGCCAAGTGCTCTGTTAGTGCAGGTCACCTCGCACCTATTGGAGCAAGGATGCACATGAGCCTTGTTATATATTTGTGACCTTAAAAATCTAATTAATCAATGATAGGTTTTTTCCCCACTCAGAAAACTGATAATTGAGCACATTATGACTTTTTTAGCTGCTACTTTTCCCTCATTCTTGCTGCTATTGGTATACTGTTTTAACCTGATTTTTACTTGTTTACTAAAGGTATATTGGGTGGGGTAAGGGGCCAGTGAGAAAACAGTATTTTTTTTAAATGTGAATCTTCCAATAATAGTCAAGACAGAAAGTAAGAAAAAGTATACAGGTGGCTCTGATATCATTGGTTAATATGCCTTTATATATATAACACTTTCATAGTAAATATAATTTATTTATCCATGTTATAGTTCATGCTTTAGAAGTCAGGAGGCTTTATTTTACTTACTCTTGTACAATTTATCTTGCAGTTTCTAAAAACCTAACTCCCCTTGTTTTGTGGTGCACATGTTTTATAGCTCTAAAAGTCTATAGTTTTCATCACATATCCTTGTGACATTATTACTTTAGTCAATCACTTGCTAATTATTAGGATGTATGCCATAATTCACAGCCATATATGGAACTCTCTATCTATATTCAGAACTAAATTCCCATCCTCCTCCTTCCCCTCAGAAAGGTGTGATTTTACACTTGATCAAAAAGCAATCTTACAGTTTTATGCTTAATTATATTGTTTTTGTTAACCAAAGAACAAGAATGAAGACAATATCCTATAGTAGAATAGTATGTTCCTTTCCACTAGATGGGAGTATGAGATAACCAGATGTAAGAGTGTTTAATCAGAATATGCAAATTCCAGCAGATTCTTGCCAAATAAACATTTCTGACTAGTGTGTGTTCAGGGATAGTGATTTGCCTCCCCGCCCTTTATACTTCTCCATTGCTGTCTTTGTCTTCCTCTGCTTCTGTTTTTCACTTTCTGGACCTGTACAGGTCAGATCTAATATCTTCAGTTTATAAAACTCACCTCAAGAAAACTCAGAACATAAAAATCTGTAATTATTTAATACTTTATTTGGCAAAAACAAAATCATTTAAGAGCTTTTGTTGGTTTCTTCCAATTTTCTGATGTAGAGAAGTCCAATTATTTATATTAACTTTAAATCCAAAAAAACTTATTAAATTCTTTAAAACATTTTTTTCTTCATTAATTAAGGATTACATATGTGTCCTTATCCCCTTATTGTCGTCGTCCCCTCCCCCCCCCCCCCATACCCTCACTTCTCTGGTGTCTGTGTCCATTGGTTAGGCCTATATGCCTGCACACAAGTCCTTTGGTTGATCTCTCCCTTTTACCCCCACCCTCCCCTACCTTCCCTCTGAGGTTTGACGGCCTGATCAATGCTTCTCTGTCTCTGAATTCATTTTTGTTCATCAGTTTATGTTGTTTATTTTTAAATTCTTATTGATGCTAATGCATTGCATTTTATATGATTAGTCACAGCATTTATGAATAACAATAGTTTCTTTCTTTTTGATAACTCTGTCCTTAACTTTTAACTACTATCTTTTATAATAGCATATAGTTGGGTTTTGTTGCATTATCCAATGAAAGCCATTGACTTTTCATTGTAGAATTGAGTCTATTTATTGTGACTTTTGATATATTTGGATTATATCAACCATTTTAATTATTGCTTCCTACATGTCCTAATCTCCTGTTTCTTTTTTCTTGTTGCCTTCTGTTTGACTAATTGCATTTTATATTTTCACTAGGGGCTCAGTGCACGAATTTGTGCACCTTGAAAGGAACTATGGGCTGTGGTGGACACAGGGGCGGGTCTCTGCCCATCCTCCACACCCCTGCCCGGCTCCTCCCACTATGGCCCCATGGACTCCTGTCTGCCAGCGGCCCTGCTCACAACCGCTGATGGGGCAGAGTGATTGGGGCTGGCTACAGCAGTGGGTGCAAGTGGTGGCTGTTACCCCGATCTCCTCGAGGAGAAGCCCTCAGGGTGATTGGGGCCCGGGAGCCGCTGCTGGCACCCGCTGATGGCGCCAAGTGATCAGGACCAGCACCAGGCACGAGCAGTCGGTACAAGTGGGGCTGGCACCAGCAGTGAGCACTGGGTGGGACTGCGGTATGCAGGAGCAAAGAATTTTCAGTAACTACCAGAGGTTTGCCCTGATGATAGCAACCAGTGCCCCACCTTGGTCTGGCGCTCCCATTCACCTGCTCCACCATCCTGCCAGTCGAAGCCCGCCATGTTCCACACTCTGCTGCCTGCTGCCGGTGCCTGGCATGTTCTGCGCGTGCCCCCTGGTAGTCAGCGCACGTCATAACGCTGTTGTTCAGTTGTTCCGCCATTTGGTCTATTTGCATATTTTTAACATGCATACTTAACAACTAATGTTAATTTATAACTTTAATATTTTCCTGACAATGTAAGGATATTAGAATGTTTCTTAAAACTCTCATATGCCCCCTGATTTACCTGCTATCATTGCCTTGGATTTTGGTTTGTTTGTAACACCACAGTCTATTTCCAGTTTCCTTTGTCACATTTTCCAGATCTGTTCTTCTGCCAGAATCTTTCCTGAGTCTTCACCTTTTTCCTCCACGTCTCCCCCGGATTCAACCCATGATGCATATTCATCATTCCCTGGCTCTTGAGTTTATATATTTTAACAGGCCACAGTTTTAACACTAGATCTATATATCCTACAATGTACTTGAGATCTTTACCATTCTCATAGACATTTCAAAATTAACAGTAATTCACTTGTGGAGTCCTCTCATCAACCTTTTCTCCCCATACCTCAGATCTATTTGTAATAAATTACATTTGTTCTATCTACTTACTCATTCCAGAAACCTGTATTCATTTCATGACCTCATCCTTTTTGGTAAGCGGGCCTTCCTTTCACCATCAATACATCCAAATCAGCCACAGTGTGTGGTCAGATTTACATTCAAGGAGATCTTAAACTTGTTCTTTGATTTGTTTTTTAAAATCATTGACGTGCTAATTGGTCTGCCTACTTTCAATTATATGTATCCCTCATCTCTCCACAAGGCAGGTATTATAGGTATTACAGTTTTTTAAAATGATAGATCCAAACATGTAATTCTGTTGCCTAAGAGCCTATAGTGCCTCCTGAATGCTCTTGCAATGAAGGCCAGATTCCTAAAGATGTCCTACAAGGCCCTGCATAATCTCATGGCCACCTCACCGTTATGTCCTAGTATCAAGTACATTGCTTGGTAATATAACATATATAGACACTCATATATGTTGCATGAATGAATGAGTAATTATGTACTAGACCAGATTGGGGGAGCTGGCAGTGTAAGAAGAGCAGAAAGTTTCATTTATTTTTTTATATACATATTGGGGCACACAGTAGGTGATCACTAAGTGTTTGAAGAAATAAGAGGGCAGAGAAAGGAGGAAAGAAATGGAAAATGGGAAAGGAAATTGGTCAGAAAAGATAAACCTAAATCTAGAGTTATAGTCCTTGATGAAAAAAGTTTATATCAATCTCTATTTCTCCTTTAAAAACAAAAACAAAAACAAAAAAAACTTGAGTAATGGCTATGAAATGTGATTGCTTAAAAAAAAGAAACTTCTTGCTGTGATACTTTTCTGTTGGACTTATTTATGTATTAACTTATCTATTTATTTATTTATGAGAATGAAGAATACCAGGTGGCATTACTCTCAGAATGGCCCCTTGGGCATGTATTTTAAAATTAAAAACTAATTTTTTAAAGATCTTGTAAAGTGACGGTACATTTTTATATTTCCTTATTTAAATTTATGGATAGCTACTTAGTATTTCTCTGACAAAAAAAAAAAGGTTTTCCCTTGAGTACTATAAAATGGAATATATGTAAAAGTATTTTAATGATTATAAGTATATGCACATAATTATAATTGATTTTGTAGAATTAGTCATTGCCTACTTTTCTCCAAAATCATAGAAAAATATGTCGTAACTGCAAGTGTGGTGAAGAGGAGCATGATGTCCTATTGAGCAATGAAGAGGATCGAAAAGTGGGGAAACTTTTTGAAGACACCAAGTATACCACCCTGATTGCAAAGCTGAAATCAGATGGAATTCCCATGTACAAACGCAATGTTATGATTCTGACCAATCCAGTTGCTGCCAAGAAGAATGTCTCCATCAATACAGTCACCTATGAATGGGCTCCTCCTGTTCAGAATCAGGCATTGGTAAGTAAGCGCTGGGGGGGGGGGGGGGGGGTGGGGTGTTGAGAGTCTCTTAATTAAGCTTCCCCAACTACTTATTTAGAGCAGTTCCTTCAGGACCTAATCAACATCAGGTCTGTTATCTTTCTGGGGTCCCATTACTTTGACTTTCAACTCTTATTGTAGTCTTTTGAAAATAGGATTAGATACCTCATAGCATTTTTCTATCAAATATGTTAACCTCTTTGAGGGAATGGTCTGACAAAATAGTTTAGATGAAAAAACAGATACTTTTCAAATTTAGTGACTCTTCTAGCTTGCTCTTGAGAATATTTCTCTTATGATGGTAAATAATATCATAGGAATAAAATTTGTCATTATTTAGAACTCCAAAGATATTCAAACACTATATTTTACTATGTAAGACAAAAACAAAATTTATTTTGTATAATGCTCCAGTTCTAACCAGATGAGCCACATAGAAGTCTTCTAAAAACATGAGTTAAATTATTAGAGTGAATCTTATAATGATATTTTTTATAATGAAAATGCTGCTGATTCATAGGCCATTTTATAGATGCTGCCTAAAAATCTGTGTTCTCTTACAATTGTACATTTGTATGTTTTGTACAAGTAAACATTAGTAACCCAAATCTTTTTATAAATTGAAGAAAAAATATTAATTTTTTTTAAAATATATTTTTTATGATTTCAGAAAGGAAGAGAGAGTTAGAAAGAGATATATATTAACATCAATGATGAGAAAGAATCATTGATTGGCTGCCTCCTGCACTGCCCCCCACTGGGGATTGAGCCTGCAGCCTGAGCATGTGCCCTTCACCAGAATCGAACCTGGGACCCTTCCACAGGCAGATGCTCTATCCACTGAGCCAAACCAGCTAGGGCAAAAATTTAATTTTTTTGAAGAAAAATGTATTAATTTTTATTGAATTAAATCTATTCAGTATATCAGTTTTCAATATGCTAATACCTCAGGATATATCTCTATTACCAACAAGATAATTTGTTGGTAATAGAGAAAACCAACTTCTTCGTTAAGTAACTTGCTTCTGGTGTGTCTATAAAGTAATATTGCCGCCCTAATGGCCAAATTATCTCCTAGTTAACACTGGTCTCCCTGTGGTTCAGGCCAGGCAGTACATGCAGATGCTGCCCAAGGAGAAGCAGCCAGTGGCGGGCTCGGAGGGGGCGCAGTACCGGAAGAAGCAGCTGGCGAAGCAGCTCCCTGCGCATGACCAGGACCCTTCCAAGTGCCATGAGTTGTCTCCCAAAGAGGTGAAGGAGATGGAGCAGTTTGTGAAGAAATACAAGAGCGAGGCTCTGGGAGTAGGCGATGTCAAACTTCCCCGTGAAATGGGTGCTCAGGACTCCAACAGAATGTACATCCCTGGCGGAGGCAGAAGCACCGTGGCATCGGTGGGCACCATAGAGGACAAGGCGGCAGAGCACAGGACTCAGTATGTGAGTACAGCGGTCACGTCATTGGTCCCGTTGGTGTATTTTACAGGTTCCTTCCTTTTCTTTGAATCTTTTTGGAGACCACTCCTCTGTTTCCAAAAGGGAGTAGGTGAGGGAAATAAATTGAATTAAAATTTAGTTTATGTTGATTTTAAAGAATCATGTTTGAAACCTGTGCCTAGACCAGTGGTTCCCAACCTTTTTGTGCCATGCCCCACCTAAGCATCTCTAAAATCCTGATGCCCCCTCAATCCTCGTGACATACAATTCTTACTATTCAGAAAGTGAACTCCTGTTCATGTGGAGGAAGCCTAAAAGGCCACTAACCTGGTCTAAACAAGCTTCAAAGAGCATGGCATCCATGAAAGAAAAATATAAGAGCGAAAGGACAGTTGAAATACTGAGGAAGAAAGCAGTAAGAAATTGTTAAAAAATATAATATTGTGATGTGAAAAAATAGCAAAGTTTCAAAACATATAATAGAGACCTGAAATGCATAAATATCTCACAGTATATATTTATGTACTTTATATGAGGTCCCTAGAACCATAAAAAATGCAAAAAAAAATCACTGTTAATATTTCATTCTCAAATTGCTCCCCTTAAAAATCAAGTTGACCCCCTGTTGGGCGGGTGCCCCACATTGGGAACCACTGGTCTAGAGCCAAGTTTTCTGACTACTTGTTGCCAAGAATTATTGCGAATTTTAGGTAAACACAGTCGTGATCATTGGTATCAATCTGGAATACAGCATACTAATCTAGAATCTATTTCTAAACATAATTTTGGTGTTAATTATTTACCTATTCCCATAAATAAGAGTTATATATAATTATATTAAGTTGTGCTTGCTATTGTACATTGCACCTAAAATTGAAACTTAAATTTATGAGGATATATATTCAATCAGTTTTTAAAATCTCTCCTAAAGAGGGAAATTGAAGTCTTTTTTTTTTTGGCTTGAAAATTGTGATATAGATGTACAAAAAACGGTTTTTTTAATTTAAATTAATTGTTGTTGAAAGTATTACATATGTCTTCTTTTTCCCCCCATTGACTTCTCCCTGGCTGCTCCCACCCCCCAGCACATGCCCTCGCCCCCGTACTGTCTTGTGTCCATTGGTTATGCTCATATGCCCATTGCTTATGCATGCATACAGGTCCTTTGGTTGATCTCCCTGGTGGCCTGCACCCTTCTCCTCCCCTCCCCTGCCTTCCCGCTGAGGTTTGACGGTCTGTTCAATGTTTCTTTGTCTCTGGATCTATTTTTGTTCATCGTTTTATGTTGTTCATTATACTCCACAAATGCGTGAGATCATGTCATACTTATGACTGGCTTATTTTGCTCTTTAGGTCCATCTGAGAACTAAACTTAAATATATTTCTCATAGATTCCATTAGCACCTCAACAAATAAGACTTAGTTTTATTTTAAAAATTCTTTTTAAAAAATTCTAATAAGCTCTAAGGTAATTTTTTAAAGACCCACTCAGAATTTAGATGAAAATGTTCGTTTTTGCTCATTTCTCCCATTCCCAACAGCCCCCTGCAGGGTGGAGGGCACGGGAGGAGATGAAAGAGGGCACAGAAGGGATAAATGGTGATGGAAAAATGAAATAAATTTAGGTGAAAATTACTATTAGCCTTTTTCCATAAGTGCTTTAATTCAGGAAATAATACTCACACACAGGGTGCAAGAATTAAATTTGAAGAGCCTTGAGAAAGTCAAGGATTGTTTCACCTTATTGTCTACCTGAACGCACTATAATTTCAATACAAACTACCGTATTTTTCGGACCATAAGACGCACTTTTTCCCCCCCAGAAGTGGGGGGAAAAAGTCCCTGCGTCTTATGGTCCAAATATAGCCTACACATATACTTAAAAAAAAAAGTTTTTTTACTTGCCCGGCTCTGTGTGGTCTCTGTGTGCTTGCCCGGCTCTAAAATGGTTCTAAATGCTGCTGTTTACTTTACAGGGTTGATTACATGTGTTTATGACTGTGATGTTGGGTTTTAATGCACATAAAATATTTTAGGACACTATTTGTTTCAGAATCTTTTTTTCTTCATTTCCCTTCTCTAAAAACTGGTGCGTCTTATGGTCCGGAGCGTCTTATGGTCCGAAAAATATGGTATTTCTCTTAAAAGTGGTGTCTCTGGATTTTTACTGAAGCTGATGATGAGAAATGCCAGTTGTATGAATAGATTGTTTTGGATGGCTTCCTTTTCAGTCCTGCTACTGCTGCAAGCTGGGCATGAAGGAAGGTGACCCCGCCATCTACGCTGAAAGGGCTGGCTACGATAAGCTGTGGCACCCCGCTTGCTTTGTCTGCAGTACCTGCCACGAACTCCTGGTCGACATGATTTATTTCTGGAAGAATGGGAAGCTATACTGTGGCAGACATTACTGTGACAGTGAGAAACCCCGATGTGCTGGCTGTGATGAGGTGAGTTCTCTGGGGTCACTCACATGCAGGCTCACTTTGTACCCCCGATGGTCCCCTTACCCTCCTAAGGCTCCCCTTAGTGCAGTGGTCACCACCCTTTCGGACCACCAGTTGCCTTAGTGAGAAAGCAACATAAGTTAGCCAGGCATCAGCTGCTTTATTGACATCCAAAGAAATGGAATGAAAAGCTTTAATTTCAATCATCCTGTGTGCTGTGTTAATTGGTTGACTAAGGAAAGATTGTCCAGAAACGTAAAAAATTGATTTGGACTAAACTAATGACCTAAGTTCAAATTTTAGGTTATTTTCAGACAAGAAAGTAAGTTGATGTACTTGTGGATCTAAATCCCTTATTGTCTAAAGAGCCTAGCTTTGTTATTTGTGGCAAAAATACACGATTCATCGTATTTTTACCCTCTTCCCAGCTGATATTCAGCAATGAGTACACCCAGGCAGAAAACCAAAATTGGCACCTGAAACACTTCTGCTGCTTTGACTGTGACAGCATCCTCGCCGGGGAAATCTACGTGATGGTCTGCGACAAGCCGGTGTGCAAGCCTTGCTACGTGAAGAACCATGCCGTGGTAAGCACTCCGGGGCGCCTGCTCTGTCCCTTCATTTCTGCCTTTCGTTAAGCCTCCTAGAGGTGAGAACTAGAAAGTACTACTTCCAAATACGAACCGTAATTCCTGCCTCGGGTGTTAAAATCCGGACAATGCAAAAGCAATCCGTGTGTTCACTGTGGGCCTCCTCAGGATTTCTACCTGTGCACACTTTCTTAATGAGAATGAGATTAATTGATTGATTTTGATCATGCAGATCAGATTCCATTTAAATTAAGATTTCTGGGGGGCTGTTCATATTCTTTAGATTTGTTTTAGTATCTGTGGTTTCTGTTCATGTTACTGGACCATCCACCAGAGCTTTGTTTTTGCTGTTTGGACCCTGTACAGTGCTATTGTTTATTTATTTATTTAAAATATGTTTTTATTTATTTATTTTTTAGAGAGAGAGGAGGAAGGGAGAGACATAGAGAGATAGAAACATTAATGAGCGGGAATGAGCCAGGTGGCCCCGCCCCCAATTGGAATGTTGAAGGCCAATGTGGCAGGACCGATGGGAGGGGGGAGTCCATCAAGGCCCAGATCAGGCTGGTTTGCTGCTGCAGTGCATGTCATAGCCACTGATCATTCTGATTGTTTTGCCTTTCTGGTCGCTGGGCTTTTGATGGGAGGGGGGAGTCCATCAAGGCCCAGATCAGGCTGGTTTGCTGCTGCAGTGCATGTCATAGCCACTGATCATTCTGATTGTTTTGCCTTTCTGGTCGCTGGGCTTTTGATGGGAGGGGGGAATCCATCAGGGCCCAGATCAGGCTGGTTTGCTGCTTCAGTGCATGTCATAGCCACTGGTCATTCTGATTGTTCCGCCTTTCTGGTCGCTGGGCTTTTAAATATATAGACTAGAGGCCTGGTGCACGATGGGGCCAGGGGGGTGGGTGCGGGAGGGGGGATCCTCTCAGTCCAGCCTGCACCCTCTCCTATCCGGGACCCCTCAGGTGATGTCTGACTGCTGGTTTAGACCTGATCCTTGGGACATCCCTCCTCTCACAATCCTCGACTACTGGCTCCTAATCGCTCACCTGCCTGCCTGCCTGGTCTCTGCCCCTCCCTGCTGGCCTGATTGCCCTCACTGCCTCTGTGTACCGGCCTGATTGCCCTTAACTGCCCCCTGCTGGCTGCCAGGTCATCTCCAACTGTCCCCTCCCTGCCAGCCTGGTCGTTCCTAACAGGGCCCCCCCCCCCCCGCCTAGTCACCCCTTAATGCCCCACCCTGATGACCTGGTCACCACTAACTGCCCCCTTCTCTGCTGGCCTGGTTGCCCCCAACTGCCCCACCACCTGCCTAGTTGCCCTCAACTTCCCCCTTTGCCGGCTTGGTTGCCCCCAACTGTACCCCCACCAGCCTGGTTGCCCCTAACTGCCCTTCCCCCCTCCTGCCAGCCTAATTGCCTCTTGCTGGCCTGGTCACCCCCAAATGCTCCCCCACCTGCCAGCTTGGTCACCCCTCATGGCTCCCCCACTGGCCTGGTTGCCCCACACAGCCTGCTTGTTCAGTCATTTGGTCGTCCCTCACTAACCCCCCTGCTGTCCTGAGCGTAGGCAGCCATCTTGTGAGGGTGTGACGATCAATTTACATATTACCTCTTTATTATACAGGATATTTACATATTTATATTTAAAAAATACATATATATATATACCTACACACATCATTATATTGTCATAAAGAGTATTTTCTGTGCTCTATTTCTTTGTCTCTCCCAACTCCCTACCACACATTCCACTTCTGACAACCACTCATCTTTTTATTGTATCCATAATTTTGCCTTTGCTATTGTAGAATATCATAGTTGGAATCATACACTATGTAGCCTTTTCAGATGAGCTTCTTTCCCTTTATAATTTGCATCTGACTTGATAGCTCATTTCCTTTTACCACTGAATAATATTTCATTGTCTGGATATACCACCATTTATCCATTCACCTAATAAAGGAAATCTTGATGGCTTCTAAGTTTTGGCAGTGATGAGTAGGGCAGCCTCCAGGTGCAGGATTTTGAGTAGACATAAGTTATTAACTTCTCTGGGTAAATACCAAAGAACACGATTATTGGATTGTGTGATAAAAGTATGTGTAGTTGAGAAACTGCCTGGTGGCCTTATTTTGCACTTCACCAGCAATGACAGAGTTCCTGCTGCTCCCCGCCCTCCCTCGAATTTGGTGTTGTAGGAAAATCATAAACCTTTTTGTAATTACTAATGTGCAGCTATAATGGAATGCCCTTGAACCAGATGCAAAGCTTTGTAACTTCTCATCAAGACTTTCTGCCTTGAATACCATGGAGATATTTTGCAAGCACCAAATCACCTGCTTGGCCTTCACCTGTTACTTCTCACGGTGCTCAGCATATAAACCCCATTAGCAGTTGTTGGCTAGAAAGATTAATTGAAAGGTCAATCTCATCTCTTCTTTTTTTTTTTTTGTATCATTAACTTAACAGGTGTGTCAGGGATGCCACAATGCCATTGATCCCGAAGTGCAGCGAGTGACCTACAACAATTTCAGCTGGCATGCGTCCACGGAGTGCTTCCTGTGCTCCTGCTGCAGCAAGTGTCTCATTGGGCAGAAGTTCATGCCGGTGGAGGGGATGGTTTTCTGTTCCGTGGAGTGTAAGAAGATGATGCATTAAGAGGAGAGCATCAAGCAGTATTGAGCCACAGCTATCCAAAGTGGTCTGCATTCCTACTGTAAAATGCAATTTAGAAAAATAAATGGAACAAAAAAGAAACTGTAAAGGAAACCAGAAGATTTTAAGTATCTCTCTTTGCTGTTTTTCTCTCACCTTTTTTATCATCTCAACACTTAAAACCTACTTTGAGCATATAGTTTTAAAACGGTAAAGGATGTTATCTTTCTTTAGCTTTCTAGATGTAAAACCTTTGATTTGGAAGGTTGGGTTTATATCTTTATATCTCTGTTCTCCTTGTGCCAAACAGTAAATCTGAAATACTTACAAGGTAGTGTGCCGAATGGAGAGGTGAGCATTTCTATATAGTTCTATATTCTTGTTTTCCTCTAGTGTAAAATGAAAAATATTAAACTTCCCCTAATGCCAAAGCTCTACATTTATTACCTCATCATATTCACTAGCTTTGTAGTGATACCCAGTGAATTTTCCTGACAGAGGAAGAGATGCAGCATAGTATGGGAAGCTGGGATCATTTTAATGCCAGTGCATTCAGTTTTCTAATTTAGGCAGAGGTAGTTTCATTGCATTTCTTATTAAAAATTTTTTCTCTACCTCTTTGTTAAGCTGGTGACCTCCATATGTGGCCTTTAATATTTTATTGTCACATGTGGCATCCACACTTTTTACTTTAGATGATATTCAGCTTGAACTTAAAATCCATGCCACATATTTATATATTATTTTTTCAATCCAAAGAACATATATACTTTTTATACCCAAGAAACTATAATTTGTACTGACAGCACTTACCATGATTTGAATATATTTTTGCATGGTTTTTATTTTTTTCTAATGGATACTGTCCTGTGATGCTAAGCCATATATCGAAAGTCTTCACCCACATACTTCATTCGTGGGCATCCCTAATGTTTATTTTTCCTTGCATACTTATATATACTATGCACTATGAAAAATAAAATCAATGATATGTATATTATTCAAAATAAAATTTCTTTTACTTTAATAAATTGTATCTTTATTCTTCATATTCTTTTTTCAAAAATTTTATTAAAAATATAAATACCCCCATTTATTCCACTGTTGATCCCTCCACCCTCTCCGGCCCCCTCCCCAGACCTTCCCCTCACTATTGTTTGACCATTGGCTATACACATAAGCTTATAAGTACTTTGGTTAATCTCTTCCCATTGAAGTACATCAGTCGGTTGCATGCTTTAATATATATTCGTTATGACTCCCAGTCTTGTGGGGTGGGCTTTTGTAGTAAATGTCCTGTAGGATCAGTGGTGTGTTTTCCTTGTACTACTTACCTGTATGTGTGTCCCTTTTGTGTGTTATTTGGGTCCTCATGTTGTGATTGGGTCTAGATTGTTGTTGTCCTATTTGTCAGAGAGCTGTCCTCTCAGGCTGGCTAACTGTGGGGCTCAGCCACAACCACACTGTGAACTGTTGTACAGGTGATGACAGGGCAAAACAATACCAACAGGACATACAAAATATCCCTATAACCATGATTAAACCAACCAAAGATAATTAGGAAAGAGAAAAGAGAAGACAAATACTAAGACAATAAAAAAAGACTGAAAAGGATATTGCTAATAGTAAATAAATAAGTAAAAGAGGTTACTGGGCAGAAAAAAAGATTCGAAAGAAAGCAAAAAAGAGTTGAGAGGAAAATGAAAACAGTAAAAAAGATGAGAAAGAAAAAATAATTTTATGCAAAGGTAAGAGATATAAAGCAAAAGAAGGTGGAAAAGAAAAAGGAAGTAAGGAAGCCAATAAGAAATATGAAATAAAAGAGAGAAAAGCAAAAATTTATAATAACACCAAAGCAATAAAGCAGAAAATATTTAAAATAGAACAAAAACACAAAACAAAACTTTTTTTGAGTAAGCCAAGTGAAGTTTGTCTTGCATTGCTCACTGTTTTGTATGCTGATTCCAGGCCTGAGAGGGCCTTTCTGTCAGCCAGTGGAGAGGCTGTCCAAGTGTGGCTCTTGGTGGCCATTTGTAGCTGGTCAGTTGGAGGCTGAGGACTACCTCCATCTGCCAGCTACTCCGCTTCCCCCCTGTAGCTGCCTGGTCTTTCTCCGGTGTCTCTCGAGGAGTCTTCAGGGTGGAGGCAGGCTTCATAACTAGGGCTAGAGAGCCCATTCCTGAGAGGTTTCGCCATCAGGCACTCACCGAGGGGAGATTAGTCTGTGCTTTGAAGCCAACTATCCAGTCTGTACCCTGTGCTCTAACCTTAGTTTCCCCTAAAATGGCCTGATGCGGGTGCTGTTTGGATCAGCCTTCTGCCTTTTCTGCACTGGCAGTTCCAGCAGTCCTGGGCTCAGTAGGATTGATCAAGAGAGTCTCCAGTGAGCACATTGCCTTCCCAGCCCCAGAGGGGTGCTGAGCTTTTCCTCCCGGTCCCAAACAATAGCCCATGAGAGTCTTACACTTGGAATGTCCTCTGAGCTGGTCTCCCTTTCCCCAGCAAACTTTGCCCAGTGGGAGTATCTGGGGCTTCAGAGAGCTAATCCAGCCCCTTTCCTCTTGGGGGAGGTGCTCCTAGCCTATGGGAGAGGTAGATGTACTCCACCCGCCTTTCCCAGCAACCTCTGGCTGAACTCAGGGCGTTTGGGTCAGCCTTACCACCATGCAGACAGAAGCCTGGCTCTTGTTGGTCCTTCTCCTCAATAGAAGACTTTCCAGTAAATGTCATGGGGTGCCATACAACACACACACACACACACACACACACACACACAAGCAAGCAGAAAACCTGCTTTGCAAGGACTCAATCGTCCTTGCACTCCCATCAAGGAAAAGGGGTTACAAAGTCAGCCCCATGCAGGTTCTTGATCTCAGTAAAGCTGAGGCCGAAATCCCCAGCTTTCTATAGTGTGGGTCAAGTATCTCTGTTCTCTGCCCAACCTGCATAGCTTAGTGGTTGAGTGTCAACCTATGAACCAGGAGGCCATGGTTCAATTCCCCGTGGGGGGACATGCCCAGGTGGAGGGCTCCGTCCCCAGTGTGGGGTGTGCAGGAGGCAGCCAATCAATGATTCTCTTTCATCACTGATGTTTCCCTCCCTCTCTCTCCATCTCTGAAATCAGTAAAAATACATAAAGTTTTAAATCCCTGCTTTGCCCTGCTGGCAGCTGCAGTTGCAGCTCAGTCTCCCTCTGGAGGTGGGAGGCCCCTCTTTCCCTTCTCCCTGCCACACAATTCAGGCGTCCTCAAACTTTTTAAAGTGGGGGCCAGATCACGGTCCCTCAGAGAGCTGGAGGGCCGGACTATATGAACTACTAATTCCTACTGTAACACCTCGGCTGCGCTCACTGCCCAAAAAACCTGGCGGGCCGGATCAGACTCCTCTGCGGGCCGCATGTGGCCCGCGGGCCGTAGTTTGAAGACGCCTGATTCTAGATGCTTGCTGGGGCTCTGTGCCATGCCTTTCAGGAAAGCAGAGGGTCCCTTTAGGTCACTGCTGGTTGCAACCCACAGGCTGCTCTCTATTCTGGAGCCACACACCCTGCTGAATCTCTCCTGCTCTCCTGCTGACATTAGGTACCGTATGCTCTTTCCCTGGGAAGGCACAGACCCTGCTTCCCAGGCGGACTGTTCCCCGGGGATCCTCTGCCCAACGCTTCGCGGGCTCCTTCCATCTCTGTCGCTCAGCGCCTTGCGTTGGATGCTAGTCCACACTCCCAAAGCAAGGGAGCTTTGCAGCTACTATCCGTCGGGCCTCTCAGTTGAGCACTATGGGGGGGGGGGGGGGGGGCGGGAAGCTCCCCCTTTCTGCAACTCCCCCTCGTTTACCAGTCTCTACTTGTTTCTTCAGTGCTCCTTAGAGAAAATATAGTCCAAACAGCTAGACTTCCCTTGTTTTCTCAAGCAGGCTGTGCAGAATTTTAGCTGTAAATTCAGTCTGTGGAACAAGGGCACTCAGCCTCCTGTTAGAGTGCATCAATCTTTGCTCCTTTTCATTGGAAAGCAAAAAAATAAACAAGTAAATAAAAATATCCTTCTGCAATTAAGCACTAATCACAGCAGGGGGAGCTGTCTCCAAGGATTAAACATGACCTGAGGGCTGTTTCTGACAAAACAGAAACTTAGACTTTTCATTATAATAAAGGAATAAGTTTTATGAAACGTTAAAATAAAATAAATCAAGGCATTTAAGTTGTTAGTTTTCAATTCATGTAGGAGTTTTTTGTGGGTTTTTTTTTTTTTTTTTTTTTTTTTTTTTAGGAAAAGGGAAAAATTCTCTTATCTTGAGGAAAGTCTAACAAGGATTACTCTGATGCTCAAATTGCAGCTCTATTTGGTTTTCTAAGAATTTTTTCATGGCGACCTATTGTGAAAAGGAAACAAATGTGGAATAGTAGTAGAATCATTCTTCTTCAGATTAGCAAATCATGAATGTTTCTTTCCTCGGTGTGAAGTATTTCTGTAAAGTGGGAATAGCAGCTTACTCTGGCAAAAACCCAGAATAATTTGATTTTTTTCAGTTTCTGTTTGTTTGATTGATATTGCTTCTCCTTAAATTAACCCCCCCTCATTCCCCCAAGACATGGCTAAATGGGAATAAATTGAAACAATTTTCCTGCATATTAACATAACCATTCTCCATATGGCTGCCTGCCTAGCCTCCACTCTTTTGAGTTTGAGGTAAAAACAGACTGGTTGTGGGATGTAAAGACCCAAGAAATTTGACCAAAGCCACAATTCACTACAAAAGATGGTAACTGCATTCATATTAGGAATTTTCTAGAGCAATAAACTACTTTGCCTGGGAGATACAGAATCACTAGATTTGATTCTTTGTCCTGATTTATGTTTTTAGTTTGGCCTTAGAAGAGAATGAACTCTCTATATGAGAGGTTTTAAAGTTTCCTGCCACTTTAAAGTGTTAACCAGGTAAAAAGGAATTGTTTCAAATACACTGTCCTACAGAACACTTCACAAAAGAACAAGTTAGTTAACAGATTAGTTAAATCCTCTTGCAGTGAGGAAAAAATAAGGAAGTAATAAAAGTTTTATCTAGATTCATGCTTTTTTTTTTCTTTTCTTTTTTTTCCCAAGGTAGATAGTGAATAATCTTTTGTTCTACTTATTTCCTATTGGTCAATAAATGAAAGTTTCTATCATCCAAATGCCATGTAAGTTCTAAGATATAGCTTATCGTTTTTTGCACTTAATATAGCAGGCATTTAACAACCACATTTGTGTAGTTAGCATAGAGAGACCCTCACCCTGAAAGGGATTAGATTGGAAGGGAGAAAATAGCAAAATATGAACCATGATAAGGGTACTTTAGAGAATAAGAAAAGAGCTACGCTTTTTTCTTTGGCAGAAGCCACTATCTTGGATCCTAGAGAAGACATAATGAGGAATTCTGATTCTCTTATCCCCTAATCAGTAGTAGGTTCTTGAGAACAGAGGGGTTACATGAGAAAAAAAGAGGAGAGAAATTTCTTTCCTTAGACCCAGGAAGTTCAAAAAAAGATTTTGACACATTAATTGTTGCTTAAGTATATTAAGGTAATACATTTACTATCTTATTGGAACATACCATTAGAATAA